GCAGAAGGAAAAGTGAACCCTCTGAGGTGTCCCAAGGGACTGAAACCCCTCAAACCAAGGGGCAGAAGGACAAGTGAACCCTCTGGGGTGCCCCAATGGGCTGAAGCTCCTCGAGCTGAGGGGCAGAAGGGTGAATAAACCCTCTGGGGTGTCCCAAGGGACCGAAACCCCTCAAACTGAGGGGCGGAAGGGAGAATGAACCCCCTGGGGTGTCCCAAGGGACTGAAGCTCCTCGAGTTGAGGGGTGGAAGGGAGAATGAACCCTCTGGGTTGTCCCAATTCACTGAAACCTCTCACACTGAGGAGTGGAAGGGAGAATGAACCCTCTGGGGTGTCCCAATGCATTGAAACCCCTCAAACTGAGGGGCAGAAGGAAAAGTGAACCCTGTGGAATGTCCTAATGGCCTGAAACCCTTCAAACTGAGGGGCAGAAGGGAGAATGAACCCTCTGGGGTATCCTAAGAGACTAAAACCCTTCAAACTGAGGGGCAGAAGGAAAAGTGAACCCTCTGGGGTATCCTAATTTACTGAAACCCCTCAAACTGAGGGGTGGAAGGGAGAATGAACCCTCTGGGGTGTCCCAGGGGCCAAGTCGTGGCTCCAACAGCCCCGTTCCATGATGTTCACCTTGGTCTGGTACCAGGCCTCGGCCTCGGCGCGGCTGCGGTTGGCGATGTCCTCGTACTGCGCCTTCACCTCGGCGATGATGCTGCTCAGGTCCAGGTCGCGGTTGTTGTCCATGGACAGGATGACGGCCGTGTCGGACACTTGGGCGCTGAGCTGGGCCAGCTCCTGCGGGGAAATACGTGGGAATCACTCCCCTCCTTCCCTCGGGGGGGTCCCTGGCCGGGGGGGTGACAGTGGGACGGGATTTGGGGTGTGTCGGTACCGCCTCGTAGAGGGCGCGCAGGAAGTTGAGTTCGTCGCTCAGCGCGTCCACCTTGGCCTCCAGCTCCACCTTGGTCATGTAGGCAGCGTCCACGTCCTGCAAAAGAGCAGAAATGGGACCACCTGGAGCCTCTTCTCACCCCAGAAGAGTCAATTGGCTCAGCAGTCATGGAATCATGGAATGGTTGGGGGAGCAGCCGTGCTCGGCACAGAGCACCCAGGGGTGCAGCTCTTGCCCCAAAAAAGTGGGATTGGGAAGGGGATAAGAAGAGAAATCCCAGCTGTTTGGCATCGGCACCTGGAATTCCTGGTGCTTCTGGTCCCCTCTGTCTCCCCACAGTCTATTTTTACCCAGGTGAGTCCCGGGTGTGTTGTGGGACAGGAGCGGGAGGAGATTTTCAGCCCCAAAACCATGATCCAAACGGGGGTTTAAAGCCCCTTCTAAAGGACCAGGATGCAGCTCCATGAGATCTCCCATGCCTCAGGACATTCCCAGGGCCGGGGTGGGCTCAGCATCCCAACCCCTCCCGTCTCACCCACCTTCTTGAGCACCACAAACTCGTTCTCCGCCGCCGTGCGCCGGTTGATCTCCTCCTCGTACCTGCAGGGACGGAGGGGAAAGAGCTGCTGGATCACACCTGGGGAGCAGAACAGGTGCCCAGGTAGGGCTGCGAGGGGATCTGGGCACCTCCAAATCAACCTTCCAGCTCAAAGGTGTGAGATCCCCTTTTCTCAAAGGGCTAAAAGGACAGTTTTGATTTAAGGCTGGAGGGACGAGGAGGGTAAAGATGGTTTAGGGGATTTTCCTCTGCAAGTGCCACCACAAGGTGTCATGTCCTGGCTGAGTTGCCATTTCCTGATGGGAAAAATGTCCATGGACCCTTTCTGGGGTCCTACAAGGAGAGAAAACTCAGAGCAGTGGTGCATTAGAAGGGATTAATTAGGTTCTGTTACGGGCTACAGCACAAACTGGAGATACTTTTTCCCCTTTCCTGTAGAAATTCCCATGAATATCTACAGAGCTTAAATAAAACCTTCCCTTATCTTCCCTCCTATCTTAATTGCCCTGGAGTTTTTTTTCCTCCCGAGTCTTTCAGGCAGCAGCTCCAACAAGACACTCACTTGTTCTTGAAGTCCTCGACAAGGTCCTGCATGTTCCTGAGCTCTCCGTCCATGCGGCCCCTCTCGCTGAGGAGGCTGCCCAGCTGCCGCCGCAGGTTGCCCACATAGGCCTCGAACAGCGGGTCCAGGTTGCTCTTGCCAGAGTTGTTCTTCTGCCCCTGCTCCTGCAGGAGGGTCCACTTGGTCTCCAGCACCTTGTTCTGCTGCTCCAGGAACCGCACCTGAGCAGCGGGGAGAGGTTCGGAACGAGAATGAGACCAAAGGCGTTAAATCATAGAATCATAGAATCATAGAATCATAGAATCATAGAATCATAGAATCAGCTGGGTTGGAAGGGACCTCCGAGATCATCAAGTCCAACCCTTGATCCAACCCCGCTGTGGTTCCCAGCCCATGGCACTGATGCCACATCCAGTCTTAAAAACCTCCAGGGATGGAGAATCCACCCCCTCCCTGGGCAGCCCATTCCAATGGCTGATCACCCTCTCTGCAAAGAAATTCTTTCTAATATCCAACCTAAACCTCCCGTGGTACAACTTGAGACCCAGCCCTCTTGTCTTGCTGAGAGTTGCCTGGGAAAAGAGACCAACCCCCCCCTGGCTCCCCCCTCCTGTCAGGGAGTTGCAGAGAGTGAGGAGGTCTCCCCTGAGCCTCCTCCAGGCTGAACAGCCCCAGCTCCCTCAGCCTCTCCTCACAGCACTTGTGCTCCAGTCCCTTCCCCAGCCTTTTGCTCCCCTCTGGACCTGCTCCAGGACCTCAATGTCCTTCCTGAGCTGAGGGCCCAGAACTGGACACAGCACTCCAGGGGTGGCCTCACCAGTGCTGAGTCCCAGGCAAGAATCACTTGAATCACTTCCCTGGCCCTGTTGGCCACACTGTTCCTGATCCAGACCAGGATCCATCGGCCCTCTTGGCCACCTGGGCACACTCTGGCTCATGTTCAGTTTCTTGTCAAATCCAGCTGGGAATATCCTCTGGATTATCCAGCCCGTCCCTCACCTGAGCAAATCCTCCCTCAGTGGACAGTTCTCTTAATTTATGAAGCCAACGAGCAACAATTAGAAAATGAGGGTTCAGCTCTTTCCCCACTGGCTTTTCTTTAACATCCTTTGGGGTTGTTTTTCTTTTACCTTGGAAGATATCTATCTTCCTTCCTTAAAGCCAAGGCCTGGCTACTACAAGTAGACGACTTAATTGCCTTTCCCTTGGCTCACACGTGCCTGAGCCAATTAAAAGCCAAGGGAGGACTTAAGTTGAGTCACCATAAAAGGATTTTATCTTGCAGGCCATAACCAAGCCCAACACACCCGCTGTGACTCCCCACAGAGAGAGGAGGTCGAGTCACCAGACTTGGACTAAAACTGCCTTGTTCTATTTAAACTAACACTAAATGCTATTTCTCAGGCACAAAACCTGGACCTAATGCTGTTATTACAAGCCTCAAGCCTCGTTTTCTGCCCTGTAACCATTCAGCAGGACGTTATTTTGTGAGGGCTTTGATGAAGACCCACAGGCAGGGAACGGGCAAGAGACAAGTGGAGCTCTGTGGAGTTGTATTTTTGTACCTCCAAGGCTCGTTCTGTCCCTCTTCTGAACCCACAGCCCCCGCTGGAGCCTCACCTTGTCGATGAAGGAGGCGAACTTGTTGTTGAGGGTCTTGATCTGCTCCTTCTCGTCCTTGCGGACCTGCTGGATGCTGGGGTCGATCTCCAGGTTGAGGGGGGCCAGCAGGCTCTGGTTCACCGTCACCTCCTGGATCGTGCCCACCCCGGAGGGGCCACCGGCGAATCCTGCCGGGTTCCTGCCCCCTCCCAACCCCGCGGGGAACCCTCCCAGCCCCCCGAGCCCCCCAAAGCCGAACCCTCCTGCTCCTGTGTGCCCGCCCCCAAAGCCCAGCCCCGCAGCCCCTCCGCCGAAGCCGAACCCTCCTCCTGCCCCGCCGAGCCCCAGCCCGAGCCCAGCGCCAGCTCCTGCACCCCCAACCCCTCCTCCTCCACCGAGCCCGAGCCCCAGCCCACCACCAGCACCACCAGCACCGAGCCCCAGTCCCCCAGCACCCCCTGCACCCCCTCCCAGCCCGGAGCCCCCCCCCGGCTCCCCCTCCAAAGGCGGCCCTGAAGCTGCTCCCGACCCCGATGGAAATCCTCTTGCTGCCCCCGAGGTTGTAGAGGCTCCTGCTGCCAAAACCTCCCCCGCCACCGCCTCCACCTCCCCCGACGAGCCTCCCAAAGCCGCCCCCTCCTCCTCCTCCTCCTCCTCCTCCTCCTCCTGCCCGTGCCACGGACACGGAGCTGAAGCCAGCCCTGCTGCTGCTGGGCACGATGGCCGAGGCAGCGCTGTAGGACCTGCCCCCGGGCCCTGCCCTCATGCTGAAGGTTCTGTTCATGGTGCAGGAGGGAAGAAGAGCCCGCTATGGGGGGAAGAAGAGCCCGCTGTGGAGGGACGAGCCCGCTGTGGAGGGACGAGCCCGCGGGCGAGACGCGGCGCCCAGAGAGACTCTGCTCTCTGCGGGCAGGCAGGGTGGGACTCCCCTTTTATCCCCCCTCCAGCTGGGCTTGGCTGCGTGGAAGTCCAGTGATCAAGCCGGTGCCTTCATGGTTTTGACGTGCCCGGAGCCAGGTGTCTCCCTGAAACTCGGGTGAGCACTGATGGCACTCAAACACACCTACGGGGCTGCTGGGGATCCGCTCAGCTGGAAGGGGTTACCTAACGCCCGGATTCCTGGCGGGGAGAGCCCAGCCCTGGGTGCAGAACCTCTGCAGGGACGTGCTGGGTTAATCTGGGTTCATTTCTCCAGCCCTGGGAGTGCTCAAGTCCAGGTTGGAGCAACCTGGGAGAGTGGAAGGTGTCCCTGGTCCAACAGAAGGTGTCCTTGGTCTAGTGGAAGGTGTCCCTGCTCCAGTAGAAGGTGTCCCTGGCCCAGTGGAAGGGGTCCCTGGTCCAATAGAAGGTGTCCCTGCTCCAGTGGAAGGTGTACCTGGTTTAGTGGAAGGTGTCCCTGGTCTAGTGGAAGGTGTTCCTGGTCCAATAGAAGGTGTCCCTGGTCCAATAAAAGGTGTCCCTGGGCCAATAGAAGGTGTCCCTGGGCCAATAGAAGGTGTCCCTGATCCAATAAAAGGTGTCCCTGGTCCAATAAAAGGTGTCCCTGGGCCAATAGAAGGTGTCCCTGATCCAGTGGAAGGTGACCCTTTGCATAGCAGGGGGTGGAACTGGATGGGTTTTAAGATCCCTTCCCACACAACCCATTCTGGGCTTCCATTATTTCCTCACCGTGGATCCCAGAATATCCCGAGTTGGAGGGACCCACGAGGATCATCGAGTCCAGCCCTCAAATCCCATTCTGGGCTTCCATTATTTCCTCACTGTGGATCCCAGAATATCCCGAGTTGGAAGGAACCCACAAGGACAGTCGAGTCCATCTCTCAAATCCCATTCTGGGCTTCCATTATTTCCTCACTGTGGGACCCAGAATATCCCGAGTTGGAGGGACCCACAAGGACCATCGAGTCCATCCCTCAGCCCTGCACAGGTCCATCCCCAGGAGTCCCACCCTGCGCCCCAGAGGATCATCCAAACCCTCCTGGAGCTCTGGCAGCCTCGGTGAAGTGACAGAAAAGGCATTTTAAAGGCGTTAAACCCAGCAATCACACCCAGGACACCCCAGCTCTGCTCCCAAGGTGCAGCAGATCCACAGAGAGCTCAGGGCAGAGTCCTGTGAGAATAAAATGGCCAAATCTGGACCAAAACAGCTCCTGGGGCCTCTTCCCCTGGAGGAGAGGGCGGGTGAGACACTGATGAGCCCTGACGGCTCTGCTGGGGCTCCAATTTATCCAGTCTGCCTGTTCCCACTGGCTGGGCAGGGCCTGCCTGCTGGGCTGGCACAAAGAGCTCCTGATCCACTCTGCCTCTTTCCCATTTCCACATATTTAAATGTCACCCCAAATTTTGGCCCGTTTTGTCTCAGTTATTTGGTTTAGGGCAGGTTTTTCTGGGCTTCTCTTCTTGATGTTTGCACTTCCAGAGGACAATTCCATCCCAGCCAGAGGCTGCTGTTGGGATTTCTCCTGCCAAGTGATTGTGTGATCGATGCATTTTCGTCTTGACCTCAAAATTATTCCAGTAAAAGAGGCTGATTTTGTGGAAAACTCCCTGCCCAGCTCTCTGGAAGGATGTGATTTGCCTGCTTTATGTTGCCAGTCCTGAGTTTCTGGCTCTTTCCCAGCTTTGATTCCTTTTAAAGACCTTTGAACCTTCCATTCAAAACGCCTCCAAAAGCAGATTTTAACCAGCATGAAAAACACTCCCACAAATTCTCCTTCTTTTACTTCCTGGAGTCCTTGGGGAAAAAAAAAAAAAGAAAAAAAAGAAGAAAGCTCCAATTGAAGGAGGTGTGGTGACACTTTCTGGCATCTCAGACTTTGTAAATCTATGTTTGGAGTATTTTATTCACTGTATTTCAGAGCTCAGCTGGTTTTCAGTGCTGCCTTTGCCCAGGCCCTGCACATGACTGGAGTTTAAACACATTTCCAGGACAGGACTCTACACGTCCTTCAAAACACATTTGTGAGCCCCAAGTGCTCCAAACCCACGAGGGACGAGCTAAAATCCCACTGGCACCTCTGGCAGAGCAGGGAAGCAGGTGCTGCTGAGCACAGAACTCCAAAAATCTGATTATCTGGGAGGAAAAGCTGCTGGGGAGGATCCAAAGGGAGCACAAACAGGGAATTTCCCTCTGCAGGCAGAGATTATTCCCGGCTGGAGCAGGCTGGCTTTGGGAAAAGTCAGTGTGAGCCTGCCCAGGATGTCACTTGGGATTCCTGAGCACCCACTGCCCTCAGGGTTTGCAGCAAATCCAGGTCTGGGATGTTCTGGGATGTCACTGGGAATTCTGGAGCACCCACAGCCTGCAGGGTTT